AACCCAGAACGGGACACCTTAAGACAGTTCCTCATCAGGCGGCCTAACAATCAGAAAATCACCTTTGTTTATATGGCGCCGTAGGTCGAAGTCCACTTCTGGACGGCCCGCCCTCGGTCCTACATATATCAGCGAAGCATCTGGCGATGGAGGGTCGGTTTCTTGAACTTCCTCCACAGTTTCGACTGATTGTGGCCAGAAGGTGTGAGGGTACATCTCTGGCTCGTCCGCCCCGAGGACATCCTCTTCCTCACCCTCTTCCGTCTCCTTCTTCTTTTGCTTTTGGATCATATCGTCCGCCTCGACGAAGATGGCTTTCCAGTAAGACAAAGCATCGTACCGCTTGTCGACCTCCACCTTCCTATATGTCTGCCACATGTGTCTATGTTGTTCGATGACGTCCATAAATTTTTGGACACTGTCACGAGCCATCCGAAAATCCTCTTTAACGACACGGGGAATAATACATGGCTGTGGAGGGGAGGTAGGGCCTGCATACTGCTCATCGACAACCGGTAACCAGTGAACCGGTCTGCCTTCCGACATCCATTCCGCATTGGTACAGTACTTCTTGTACACCATGACAGGACTGCCGTCACGCATGAAGAATTTGAAGATATGCGGTTTCGACACGCCGATGATGCTTTTGTCGACGTATCGATCCACTACCCGGCGCCAATCGACAATGTGATCAAGCTCAATGCACTTCGACGGTATCTTGTATGACGACTCGATAAGCGAGAACAACTGCTTCATGGTGTAAGCATCGTTGTCCTTCAGTTTTTTCGAGAAAGCACTAAAAGTCGCGTCTATGTCGGTATGCGTGTGACCAACTAGCATGAACCCCACTTCGACATCTTCGAAAATCCCGAATCTCACCAGCAGAGAGGCCAAACACATAAGGTATTGGTTTTTGTTTTCCCTCCAGCAATTGTCCGTTTGGATTCGGAGGTGGCGTGGCCATTTCTGTCCCGACGCCTGCAACTCACATAGAGTCTGCATAATGCACGTCATGGTGCCATTGGAACCATACACATAGAAAGGCAAATACGTGTAAACATAAATGAACGGTTTCCTGCCGTGAGCTACGACCGCGGTCAGGTTCGTTTTCATCATCATGTCGTGTCGATGATCCTTGGAGTAAGTATAAATGCCGATGTTAGGAATGGTTGTCTTTTTCTGATCCATTCAATCCACTATAAGACAGAGGTATTCCGCGGGGTTCAAAATGGAACGAAGTTTCCAGTCAGCGTAATCCTCACGGTGAGCGACCTGATCTAGTTGGTGTTTGCGGTGCTTTTCATCGAAATCCCTACGGTCACGAAGGCGAAGGGCGTTATCTCAGACCTGTCTAAGGCGGACGCACTCGCCACACTTTGTGAACGAGTTGGACTTGGCAAGGTCGACATGCCACAAGGACTTGCTCCATATGGAGTAGAAGACTTGCTCCGAAACGACAGTTTGACCCGCCGCTTCCAAGTCCGCCTTGATGGACTCGTATACAAGGAGCTTCGTGAAATAAGTAGGGAGCCTAACTTTAGGTCTCTGCGAGGTCCCCCTCACAACCATTTCGTTAGGCATAGCATCCCCATGTTCCTCTATTACTCGAGCCAGCATGCTCACATACTCCGGTCTTGGGTTCAACAATCCCCATCGACCATGCCGTCCACGGGCGACCCCGTTTGACTTGCACTTGCTATAACGACCAAATGTGTTTCGACATATCCCTATTATTTTGCACCAACCAGCGACGCACACACGGCGTTTGCACTGCACTGGTTGGACTCTTTCCTGACCACCGTCGAGGATAGTGAAATTATCGAGGGTTTGCATCCACCACTCGATCCTCCTTTCGAGGGACATTTCATAATAGGCTTCGCGCACCGGTTTGATATCATCAATGGTCAAGACCCGAAGACACTTGTTCTTACAACATTTGTGCGTCGGGACAAGCGCAATTTTAGTTTCATTTAATCGACTTTTGACCCTCTTCGAATGTTCTGACCTTCTAACCGGCCTAATTTTCCGATTATATCTTCTTCTTTCTCTAGGTAGGGGATAAGACAAAACTCGAAGGACTGCTTCGGGAGTTCCAAGGTGACTTTTGGTCGGGGCCCTATGCACTGCACCAAGGAATTTTGATCTGTCCGTGGGAGGGGTTCTCGGCAAATTAGATTGGGAGGATTCCGATGAACTGTAGAAATCTGTGTCTACAAAACCAGTCTGCCAATTTTCCATTGCACCCGTGGCTATAATTTTTCAGGCTTCACATGCAATTCTCTTACCTATCTTGGCACTTTCACACGCACGTTCCATTGCCTGTTCCCTATCAGACGCGTTTCTACCAAATGCACCGCACTGTTCCCGATCAGATCCGTTTCTATCGGACGTACCGCAAAAGTCTGTATCCACCAACGAGTGACTGTAGTCAAATGCTAGGGGTTGGGTAACTTCAATACTTTCAGACAGTCCACCCGCTGTCCGCACGAGATCTAATCCAGTCGTTACGGACACACCACATAAATTTGTGTCCACGAACATCCATCCACCGGGAAACGTCTCGACATCCCGAATACCCTCACTATCGGGGATTAGCGCTGTAAATACGCGCTGACCGTCGGGAACGTCGGTAAAGCGAACAAAACGACGCCGAGCGGACGTCGTAGACGAGCTTGAATGATTCATCGGGTTAAACATCGAGAACTCCCTTTTCAAACCGCAATGTCGATCAGAGGGAGCTTCCGGACTGTTGTCACAAGAACTACGTTCTCGAACATCGTCTTCTCCATGTTGTCCTAATGGACAGTGACGGTGGCATTGGCGTGACACAGTGGACGGATTGTACACCCATTTGAAGAGACTATTCACACAAAAACTGTACAACAAGAAAATCACGTCAACGTATGACGAGGTCAGGGAAATAAACAAGAGGGAGTACACTCGAATTTCTAATATTTATCACAAAACAGTGGAACAACAACATTTGAATTCATATCGTTTTGTCGGACCCTTATTTGAAGCGCAGGTGCTATCTCAAGTCTAACTCCTCTCCCACTCGTTCAATGTGCAAGTGGTTAGGATATGTCCGAGTAAAATCGCACTTTTTGAGGCGAGAGTACAAATGCGAGCTGATTCGGACTTATTCACCGTACATTAAGAAATTAAGTTCCTGGTTGGAACAAGAGCAAATACATTCGCACTTGAAACGAGCATTTCGATTTCGAAACTGGGGGTACAAGTGCGAGTCAATTCGGTCTTATCCACTAAACAACAAAAAAATTAGGAGCGTCGTTAGTTCAAGTGCCAATAAATTCGCACTTCAATCGAGCATTTCAATTACGCCATGCAAAAAGAAATTACCTTCGTGGTTGGTTCAGTGGCAAGTTAACTCGCAAATAGAAAAGGACTTCATTTTTTTGGGCTGAGAACAGATGCGACTTTACTGCTTAGTGCGTCGATTTCGACACTGTGAGTACAAGTGCGAGTTAATTCTGACTTATCGACTAAAGAGTAACAAATTTAAGGGGGATGGTTGGTTGAAGAGCGAATAAATTTGCACTTGCAAACGAGCATTTCCATTACGAAACTGGGGGTACAAGTGCGAGTTAATTCTGACTTATCGACTAAACAGTAACAAATTTAGGAGGCTGGTTGGTTCAAGGGCGAATAAATTCGCACTTGCAAACGATCATTTCCATTACGAAACTGTGGGTACAAGTGCGAGTTGTTTCCGGCTTGTTCTGCATGTAGTACGAACCACAGATTGTGCGTTATTTATTCCGGGGAAGAAGGTAGATGGCGCAGGAAGGGAAAAAGATCGCGAACCGATTGAGAGAGATGCCGCAGCGAGGGAGAGAGATTGCGCACTGATGGAGAAACATGGCGCAACAATGGAGATAGCAGGCGCATCGATGGTTAGCGATGGCACAACAATGGAGAAAGATGGCGCACTGAAGGAGAAAGAAGGACAGGGATGACGCGACGATGGAGATAGATTGGGAAAGATAGCGCAGCGATGGAGATAGATGAAGAAAGGTCGGGAGAGATCGCGCAGCAACAGTTAGCGATGGTTAGTGATGGCGCACCAATAAAGAAAAGACATAGATGGTCATTGTAACGCGCAGCAATGGTTAGCGATGCCGCACCAATGGAGAGAGCAGGCACAACGATGGTTAGTGATGGCGTACCGTTGGAGAGAGTTGGCGCAGCGATGACCAAGATTAGTTGTTGCACAACATCAGTTCCATTATCAAAGTGACATCCATCGCATTAATCCTTCGTTAAGCATACCTGTCACTTGTTTCGTGCGATTCCACAGTGATGGGCGGCTGCGCCGATTGCAGCCTGAAACAACAATACAATGACGATGGTGGGATCGCGCAGGAGAGATGGAGAGCCTCTGGCGCAGGGATGGAGGTTGCCCTGTGGTCGAGAGAAATCGCGCAGTGATGGAGTGAGATGGAGAGTGATCACTCAGCGATGGAGGGAGATCGTGAGGCGCTGGAGAGAGATCGCGCAGGAGCAATGAAGAGAAATCGCTCAGCGATGGAGAAGCGATCGCGAAGGCCCGAAGGTGCCCAACGAATCAGCGATAGCGATGGCCAGCGCTGCGATGGGATAACACTGGCGAGGGCTTCGATAGTGATGGCCAGCGCTGCGGTGGAGAGCGCGCCGATGGAGAGAGATGGCTTAACGATGAGAAAGATGGCGCAACGATGGAACGGGTGACAATGGCCAGCGCTGCGATGGCAGCGATAGCGATGGCCAACACTGCGATGAGAGCGATAGCGATTGTCAGCACTGCGATGGTGAGGCGAGCGAGATGGCTGCGATGGGGGATGGCCAGCACTGCGGTGGAGAGCGATGATGCACCGATGGAGAGAGATGGAGTACCGATGAGAAAGATAGCGCGGCGATGGAACGTGTTACAATGGCCAGCGCTGCGATGGCAGCTATAGCTTTGCGTCGCGTTACAATGGCCAGTGCTAAGATGGCAGCGATTGTAAGTGCGGCGATGGTCAGGTGAGTGCGACGGCTGCGATGGGGGATGGCCAGCACTGTGGTGGCAGCGATAGCGATGGCAGCGATGGCGATGGCAGCGATGGCGATAGCGATGGTAGCGATAGCGATGGAAGCGATAGCGATAGCGATGGGAGCGCTAACGATAGCGATGACAGTGATAGCGATGGCGCTAGCGATAGCGATAGCCATGACGCTAGCGATAGCAATAGCGATGGGGGATGGCCAGCACTGCGGTGGCAGCGATAGAGATGTAAAGCGTTACAATGGCCAGCGCTGCGATGACAGCAATAGCGACGGTAGCGCTGCGATTACAGTGATAGCTTTGCATCGCGATGGTGATGAGCTAAGCGCATCGATGGCGATGGTGCATGGCGAGGGTGGGAATGGATTGCGGACTTGGTATATCCAACGCCGTTGACATTTGCAAAATGTCCCAATGACTGTGACACCGGAACTTATAGATTTTCGGTGTTTTTGACCTCTGTGCATAACGAATCGCCGCGCCTCGGCGCGCAGTGAACTGTCGCCTGGCCTCCGCACGCAACGAACCACCTCGCCGGATTCTTGCGCCTGACCTCGTGCGTCAGATCATGTCGATCGACGGTCCAGACTACAACTGCGAAAATGACCTTGTCTGCCCCTTGTTTCCTGGAACTGTCATATCATTGCACGCCGGAGTTGACGGTGATTTTGGGGCCTCTAGCATGTCAGTGGGTCCGTTCATTTGCGCCGTTCAAAATTGTTGATCGACGATCGACAATTTCCAGTACCTCTGACCTTTCGAGTCCCAAGCTGCCCTTACCCGTTTATAGGCCCTGACGTCTTATGGGCCCAGGCGTGCGATATGTGAATCGATACGGCCCCACCTTTATCCCGACGCGAGGCCTGCTGCAGGAAAGTATAAAAGGTGTTGCCGCCCTCATGTTATCCCTTTGGTTGCCGCTCCACAGATCAAGTCGCGCTATCGCTTCCTCGCGCGTTCTCATATTTTGTTTTCAGCCCCCACCTCCTTCCGCCATAGCCCGTTCGCTCTTCGTTCTTCGCTCCGTCCGCAGTTGCCGCATTGTGTTCGGTTCGCTCTCCGTAGCTCGCTCTTTGTAGCTAGATTTCCATTCGCCATAGCTGGTTCTCTCTTCCTACCTTGATATCCCTCCACCATAAATGGTTCGGTGGTCGTACATCTATATCCTTCCGACGTTGGTCGCTCGCTCAACGCACGATGAAGGTAGGATTTTGTAACTTCAGTTGTCCTATTCTGTGTCCGATGTCCGAACAGATTCCCAGATGCCCTGTCTCAACCTGCAGGATATAACGCCGCAATTGCCGTATGTTGAACCCCAAATCAATTCCCGGTTATGTTGTTTCGCCAGCGGACGTGTTCTGATGTCTTTTCTCCATGCTCCACCTCCTACCGCCATAGCCGATCCGCGTTTCGTAGCTCGATTACCTTTCGCCATAGCCATGATAACGTTTGTATAAAGTTGCTCGATTCCCTTCGCAACTTATAGTCGTCATTGCGCATGATGAACCCCGAATCAATACCCAATTTTTGATGAACACCGAATCAATTCCCGATTTTCGCTCACCTGTCCCTTGTGAGGTCGTCGACCTGACATATATATATATATATACATATATATATATATACATATATATATATAACTAAATCAATTAGGACTTTTGTTCATCCTTCACAGCGAGGTCGGAAGCGATCCACAACTGCGAGTCAGTTCGCAGTTTGCGACGTACATTCCTTGAGGAGTCACAACTGCGAGTTAGTTCGCACTTGTAGACACCCATGTCGTGCGTCTTTCAGGTCTTCATTTCCACAACTCCGAGTCAGTTCGCACTCTCCCCAAGATAAGCCGCCTTTGGTTAAACGTGGCTTTCGCGTTTCCAGAACTGGGGGTTGCAATTGTTGTCTTGTCTCCAGAACTGCGAGTTAGTTTGCATTTGTCGATACCCTTCGCAGTTGTCGATAAACCACATCTTGCTCTTGTCGAGGGTAGCGAGTCGGGTCGCAATCTTTCCGAAGAGTTGTTGTCTTCCCTCCGAACTCACTCTGCAAGAGGAGTGTTGTCTTCCCTCAACTCTACCCAATTGTTTTGACTTCGTTTGCATTTCAAACACCAATCTTCTGCGTATGTTTCCTTCTCCCCAAAACTGCCAGTCGGTTCCCGCTTGTCGATACCCATGCGGTACTTGTCGTAGACGACTTCATTCCCAGAACTCCGAGTTAGTTCGCACTTTCCTGAAGATAAATCACCTCTTCCTCGATTCTAGGACAACGAGTTCGTTCACACTCTTTTCGTGGAGTTGTTGTCTTCTCTCCGAAATCACTCTGCCAGAGGACTGTTGTCTTTTCTCTCCTTTACCCAATTGTTGTGACTTCGTGTGCAGTTCAAACACCCATCTCTTATGTCCTTTCGACCTCCATTTCGTCAAGTGCGAGTTTGTTCGCACTTTGCTTCTGTAGTATTAGGAAAACCTCGTTGCATTATTCCCGATCATCCAATTTCGTCTGAGGTTGGGCGTATTAGTCAACGGGTGGGAGCACAATGGCATCCGCAAAGAACACATTCACAAGCGTTTGGCCATCTGCCCCCTGGGAGGGCCATCCACAAGCGCTGGGCCATTAGCAATCTACTTCTCCGTATTTCCATACAAGGGAAGCACAATGGTTTTTGCATTCCAGAAGTTGAGGGAGTGGAAAACGTTCTTTCTCTCGGTACCATCGTCTCATCCAGCAAGATTGTTGGAAGTTTGCTCAAGCTGCACACTAACGTTGTGTACGACCACTGCAGACAACCTTTCAGAGCTGTTAAGGGTGTGATAGTGCCCATCAAGAGTTTCGCGGGGTACGGCTCGAACATGACGTTGTGCCCTCACTTTAAAGGGCTTTACGATGGCTGCAGCAAGCGTCTTTCACCGCCTGTGCAATACCTCGATCTCACGCTCAAGGTGCCGAAAGAGCGTCCGATTCTTCCGTGAGAGTATATTTTCCGACTTCTGCCAGCCCATGAGGGGTCGTCCGGCTTGGCTCAAGAAACTCCTGAGACGCTAGTGGGGCGCGGGAGTACGATTCACGACGTTGAGGGTCAGGGCAAGGGGCACGCGCGCAGCATTCACACGCAGGTCGGACCGGATGCTCCTGGGAGCACGTCAGACTTGCATTCTCCAGATGCAGGGGCTCACCGGGCCGGTACTCCGAAAATCCTCAAGGTCCGCTCCCAGGGCGACAAATATTCGCTTCGAGATGGGACGAGGAGAGAATCCGACAGATCGGGGCAAGAGGTTGGATGGAATGAGGCTGAAGGGATGCTATTGGGCGCTGTGCGCGAAAGCTCTGGCGGACTTCTTCGGAGAACTTCGGAGAAGAAGCGCGAGCGAAAGAGGATGGTGCGAGCGGAAGTGGCGGAGGAAACCCGCCGCATGAAAAGGATGAAAGGACATTCGGAGCCGGTGATGGGCGGAGATGGAGGTGAGGTCGGAAAACGTGCCTCGGGAAAGAGGGCGCCTGGGATGCATGGCGGACAAGAACATGGAGTCGAAAAGAGGTTGTCAAAGGAAGAGGGTTCGACGACACGTAAGAAAGCGAGGAGGCCCGGCGGTTTGACCATCCGCGAAGAACAAGCTATGGGTGTAGGAGATTCGGCTCATCTAGGCGCTGCCGGTGCGAGAGAACCTTCGGATAAATCCAAAAGGAAACTGGCAGCCGAAGCAGGCGATGGCCTGAAGAAACCTCGGAGGAGGAAGACTGTTGAGGTAGCGAGCGGTGGCGAACGGGCTGTCGGTAGGCAGTTCGACGAAGCGGCAGCGTTCTGGCTCGAATACGAGCGAAACGATGACGGTGAGATCGTGGAGAAGGAGCTCCCTTTTCAACTGCTCATTGACCCCAGGAAGGTCTGCAACATCCCGACTTGGTAAAGATATTACAACCACCGCAGTCTCAGTCGCGATAGTGTGGAGGACATCAAGGAAGCGATGCTAAGGCAATTCCGCGAGGAAAAGGGGAAGATCTGGACGAAGAGCCCTTTGGTTCTGACACCCATCTACAAGCCGGTGGCGCGTAGGCCGGAGAAAGCTGAGAGGGTTCACAGAGATGTCTTCAAGCCATAGGACAAGGACAAGTATTTTTATTACCCTGTCAACGAACAACACACGGTGACTGCTGTGGAGGAGTTGGAGGGTGAGCCAATATTCGACTTGTGGATGATGCACTTGTGGCCGGCGAGAGTTGTCTGGTTCTCCGACGAGGAATTCGCAGGGTATTTGCAGGTCAGTCTCAAGGAGAACACGAGACACAAGATGTCAGTGTGCGCAGAAGGTCGCGTTCGAGGACATGCGGGAGGCATGGGAGAACAATGGAAGGCCCCTGACCATTCAAGGGAACCCTTCCGGCAAGGAGGCTGAGAAAACAACGTTTTTCGAATTCCAAAAGTTGCTTTTGGGAAAGAGTCCGAACGACGCTCAGTGGACGATGGCAACCAAATCGGCAACGCTCGCCGACAAGGACCACGTCGCTGCCATTGGCAATGCATTGAGGCAATGGATGCCGCTCGTGATGGTCGGTGATGACGTTTTCCGCAAAGGCATGGAGTTCTACGAAAAATGGGCGAAGGGGAAGTTGTTGGGCGGCGACGGGAAGATACTATTGTCGAAGCCGGGCAAATACATGCCGGACAAATCTCCGGGTCTTCAAGCAATTCCGAAAATGGGCTCGAAAGGGGCGGCTGGTGAAACGAAGATGGGGTGGCTGGTCCGGGTCCCGCCGCCTCCGACCCAAAAGAAAACGCAAGCGGACGACAAGTTTCTCATGGTCGCGAAGGAACCGGACATGTTTTGTTGGCAATGTCTCGCCGACATGACCGATGTCGAGAAACTGTCGATCCTCGACGACATTCTCGCACTAAGGGGAGTGTTCGTGCAATCGGCGGACGGGCATCTGAAACGTCAACATAAGCCTGTAATAAAAGACATGGTCGCGACGAGGAAAGTGGACAGTCACCGCATGATGGTCCCCATATTCCACTACATCTTGTTCCTTGAAACGGAGGAGGACGAAGGGGTTCGACAGTACGGGAGCCTTTTTTTTCGGACCGAGGGGCAGCTTCTGGCGGAGTTTGGACCGCAGGGCCTCACGAAACAGGTGTGGGTCGAACTGCGAAAGCATTTCCGGGGCGCGGTGGAGTACGTGAACACTTGCAAACGTACCCTTCCTCACGAGAAGGAGTCCCTCGACGACACGAGGAAAATGTACGAGGATGACAGGTTCCCAAAATCTTTCAAAAAGTCCGTCCATTCCATCTTACGACGGACGGAAGAAATAGTTCGAGATACAATTAGGGTCAGCGAGGATGTGAGGCACATCAAATGGGACAAGCCCAACCGGGTGACCAGCCTTATTCCTTTCTGTTGCATGCCTTCCCAAACTCACAGTCATCTCACTGAGATCCGCGAGATTGTGCGACATTACGTGTGCAACCTGTATGTCCTC